GTTGGGGGCTCGGAAGGGAACAGCTTGGGGAAGGGGAATGGAACAGGTTGGGGAAGGGGGATGGAACAGGTTGGGGAAGGGGGATGGAACAGGTTGGGGAAGAGGCTCGGGAGGAGTGAGGGGCTCTGCCCTGCCCATGCAGCCAGAGCCAGGGTCACCCCCGGCCTGGGGGTACAGCTCGTCCCTTCTGTCCCCTGGTCACAAGCCCCCGCTCCCTGCCCTGGGGAAAATCTCTCCTCTCTGTGCTGGAACGCAGCACCGAGGGACAGACATCAATTCATAGCTTCTCATTTGTAATAATTCATTCTGTTCCTGCTTCAGGCAATTGACAGGTACTGCCCAATTGTAATAGGGCCACAAGCCTCGTGCTGCAGAAGCACAAATGGTAGCGTGGTTATAGAGGAAGGTTATTGTGTATCTGAAATACACAACAACCTGAGAGTACATTAAATTCTTTCTGATTGTATGAAACTCTTCTCTGTTGCTTCCCCTTAATGTACAGCAGAGTCCATGTGCCACAATTTGGAAAGCCAGCTGCAGCCTTGTGATGTAACCCACGAGAGAGGCACAGATCCCACCGGGCGTCTCACGTAGGCTCCAGCCTCCTTTTCTTCAAGCTCTGACTTCTCCTGAGTGGGCTGCACCCTGCCACACAGGGAGAAAGTGGGGAATTTAGGGGTTTTATTTCTGTTTTCTAAATGTGTTCCTCAATTCTTTTTCTAACTCTTCCTTGAAAGGACAGTAGTATGGAAAAAAGCAGTTTTGCAAGCCCCCTGTCCCAGCATCTGCAGCCAGGTCCAAAAGAAAGGAAAATTTCTCCCACTGGACTTTCCCAATCTCCCAGGAGCCCCTGTGAAGCCAGAGCTCAGTCACGTGTGGCAGTACCTGGGGTGTGCTGGTGGGCACAGCTGGTGCTGGGGGCTGCAGCAGGGGGCTGCAGCTGTGCCAGCCTGGCAGCAGCTCTGTGCTGGCTGCCCCTGCGGGGTGTCCTTCTCATCTGCTGCTGCCCACGGGGTGTCCCGGGGGGCTGCTGTGCAGCCGAGGAGGGCTCCGACACTTTGGCACCCGGTACCTTTAGGTCAGTGCTCTCCAAGGAGATGTCCCAAAGCTCAGGATCATCTGGAAAGAACGAGAAGGGGATCCATGACACAGTACTGTGCCACAGGAGGGGCAGTAGCTCCAAAACCAGGACATTCTTTTCCTACAAGCAGTGATCACTATAACATTTAAACTGTAAAGCATCTCTTGTGTGTGTGTGCAACAGTGCTCTGGACTTCAGCAGTGTGCAGGCACCATGGTGTGTGCCCCAAATATCCATGGCTCTATTGAGAAAAGACACACCCCAAACCCCCCCAGTTCTGTGTTGTGCAGTGTCACCTCAGGAACATGGCTTATCACACAGGTGTAACAACTCTGCTGAAGAGCCCAAGTGAAACCCCCATAGTGATGGACACCATCTCCCTGCCACTCAGGCAAAGTTTGTATTGTTAAGGTCACAATCACACTCACACTTGTGTTATTCCAATTCTTCAGAGCCTTCACCCTTATGCTGTATTCTGAATTGACCTGGTTTAAATACCAGTGCTTTAACACTTTATTTCTCATCTCTGACTCTGGCTGACCTGCAAAGAACTCCTCTTCTATTGCCAGCTCCTGTTGCACTTCTGCTGGAGTGCTGAGCTTCACGGGAGGATCAGATGCTGCTGCAGGGAGGCAACACAAGAAGAGATCAATACCAGAAATACAGAAATGCCCTTTGGCTCCTCCTTAGCAGAGCACGAGGCTGAAATGGCAGCCAGCACTGCCACCAGGTACCCTCTTTGTCCTACAGCTGGCTAAGGCTTGGAAGCAGAATGTGGGAAGTAACATTCTGTACCTGCTGACATCTGAGGAGCAGCTGTGCTACTTTAATGTGGTTTTAACCTGTCCTTCTTCATCTTCCTGCTCCCACACGGCCCCAGACTTCCCCGTGAGCCAAGGACAATGCATCAGCAGCTCAGGCAACGCATGTTTGCCTGCAGCTACCACAGCCAAGTGCTGCAGCCCCAGCAGGTTAATGGTGCTGGCAACAGCTGCTTTTGGGTGGCTGGAAAGCTGCAGATTTAGTGATGCAGGTTTAGAGCTGACATTCCTGACACTCTTGGAACACAGAGAGGGAATATATGACAATGCTCCTGCCTCTGGCCTCAAAGATGTGTTGGTGGCACAGCACATGAAGCTGGCCAGGCTCCTGTACTGTGGGTGACCTGTGCCTGCCAGCAGCTCTCATGGGAGGTGCCAGTTTTGAATGCCACTTCTCACCCTGTTTGCTGCTGGGACTAACTCCTGGCACCTGCTGCTTTTTCTCCATCTGCTCCCGGAACTGCTGCTGCAGCCGCTTCTGGCGCAGTTTCCTCTGGTAAGTGGCATCACACTCCATGGCCAGGGAGTCTGTGCTTCTGTCCTCCCCCCCAGAAACACAAAGTTAAACAGGACCTCAGCAATTACATTTTGTGAGGAAAAAATTCATTAAGAGAAAACAGTAAAGAAAAACCACTGAACTAGAGCTTTATGGCATCTTTGGAATAGAGCTGTCTACATGTTTTAACAGGCTCAGTGACTTCTAATACAGCTTAAAAAACACATTTATGCCAGCAGTCTCACCTGGGAGCGTTGGGCTGTTTCTGATCTGCTGTCACTACAGCAGCCTCTGTCTGGACAGGCTTACAGCCTGGTGTCACCTCACAGTGCTGTCTCCCTGCTGCGTTCTGCCTGTCCACATAGCTGCTGTATCTTGCTTTCTCTATTTCAGGCTCATAGTCCTGTATTTTAGCTCTGACCAAGTCTAACTCAGGGGGTACCTGGTAAGGGAGTAGAGGAGAAAAAAGAGAAGGTTCAGAAATTTCCATCATCGAGTTAATGAAATAAGCACTGGTTAAAAATCTGTTGTGTTTGCGCTAAGTGGAACAGTCAGAAACCTGAACTGCTCTTTCAGTACCCAGTAATTCAGTCAGTTAATCATTGAATTCCTGTGACTTTGTGTTGGTTTAACTGTTCAGTGCTGCAGGGCAGATGGTGAGGTCTCCCCACACTGCTCTACAAACGAGAACGGGTGCTGGTGATCGATGCAGGATTTTACAGCTTCTCACAGCCCCACAAGGCTGCTGCTGAGTTTGTTTCTAGCAGTCCATTTTCCTGCTTGTGCTAAAGGGCAAGGCCAGCCTGTTCTGAGTTCTGAGGAAGGTACACCATTCCAGTTTATTAAAGATGGGATGTTTTGGCTCTGTCACCTTACAAGTTTGTGGCAGTGCCTCTAACAGACCCTGGCAAACCAGAGATCTGGGCCATCTTTACCTGGTGAGGTGTCCCTTTGGATCTGCTCCTACACTCTTTGAAGGACTGCCTTGCAGCTCTAGGCCTCTAGCAGAGTTTGGCAAGTCCTACTGTGACTGAAGGCAGCTTTGCTATGAGAGCCCATGGATCAGCAGCTGCAGAAGGCTTTCCTTTTCCCTCCTGCCAGCAGGCAGGTCTCTGCCTAGAAGCCTCCTGGCCCAGCTGGTGCACAGCAGGAGCTGGCAGGTGCCACCTGAGGAACTGCTTTGTGTGGGAGATGTTTGTTAGGAAGGCTGCTGGTGTCAGGAGCTCTCAGGAATGGGATGCACTCTGTGAGTGCAGGAGTGGGGGCTCTGCAGCCCCTGTACTGCACCTGCCGGGGAAGCTTGTTCACGGCTCGCAGGTAGTCCTTGTCCAGGATGCAGTTCCCAAGAGCATTCCCAAAGCACCTGAGGAACAAGAGGGCTCACTGTGACTGAAAACCCTGCATTCCCACACAGCTTCTGAAAATGTACAAGTGCTGATCTTCACTTACTTGAGCGCTCTCTTCAGTCCATCTGTTACTGCCTCCTTTCTTGCCTTTTCTAAGGACAAGGCTTTGGACTTGAGGCCTTCACTGACTCCATATCCCACATCTTCATGGTATGACCCATCCTGCAGAACCATTTCAAATGTAAGGGGATTTTACAGATGCAGGTGCTGTGCTTTCCCAAGCCTGGTTCCTTGCCCTTGGCTGTTTGTTCCACAGCAAGGTCAATGTTTAGGACAGCAGCAGGTTCCCTAATGCAGAGCAGTACCTGAGGACTGTGCTCTGACCCATGCAAGGACTCACATTCACAGCTTCAGGCAACTGCTCAGCTACAGTCAGAGCCAACACAAAAAACCACTTACCTTAAGCTGAACTTTCACAAAAGCACACACACCCACATAGAACCTGCCATTGTTGAGGTCGACAAAGTCTGGAAGGAGACGTTTTAAGTGTTAATTTATAAAAACAGTAGTGAGAAAGCAGCTGTTGTCTATGAAAGTAATTTCTTTCCTATGATCTAGTAGAAGTCTGCAGTCTGCAAATAATTTGCACAAGGTTTTATCACAGCATGTCTGAATTTCTAAGGAATGACTAATTATGGCATTATCTGAAAAAGGCAGAAGTTTGAAGGATGTCAGTCCTTTCCTGACTGAAAAGGGGGAATGAAAACCGTGGTGCAGAATAGATGGAAAGCAATGAAGTAAGTTGTTCTATTTCTAGAATCTACCAGCCTGAGTTAAGAAAAGATTTCTGAAGGTGGGGTAGAAGGGAGAAGGTAATTTAAGATGCTGCTTTGACCTACTTCAACAACCAGTCTCCAGCATAAGCACAGCAGATCTGCAAACAAGGACAACACTCCCCTGGCAGGTACTATTTCAGCTATCAACATGGAAGAGGCTGAAGCTTTAAGATCATCTGAACATCACGTCATAGTTGAAAAATTTTCCCAAAGTTTTCTGTTGTAAAAACCTCAGTACTGGGTATTAGCTAGAAGAGAAATCTGCAGAAAAAGATGGGTCCCTAAAGATTAGGGGAATATTAACTGAGAATATGAACTGGTTAGAGTCTAAAAATTACAGGTGAGTATAAAAGTTGGCTCAGGACTGCCGGGTGTTAAATAGTTTAATTGTAATTACTCTTGACTGAGTGTACCCATAGAGATCAGACTCGATTAGAATAGCTCAAGAATAATCATAAACACACTGAGAATAATGACTATGACAGAACTAAAATGAAAACAGAAGCTCCATTATTATTCAATTTCTCTCGTTTTCACTAACTGGTAAGACACCTGGAAGTTGCTCATGCCTCTGCTCAGGTGCTTTGAAGTGATGAAATTGTAGCAGCTGAGGTCTCTTGGTCCTGGAGGAGACTGAGGGGAGCCCTCAGTGCACTCACAGCTTCCCTGAGAGAGGAACAGGGGCAGGCACTGATCTCCTCTCTGTGCTGACAGTGACAGGAGCCGAGGGAATGGCCCGGAGCTGGGCCAGGGCAGGTTTGGTTTGGGGAGCAGGAAAAGGTTTTTCCCCCAGAGGGTGTTTTGGGAACAGCTCCCCAGGGCAGCGGGCACAGCCCCAGCCTGCCAGCGCTCCCGGGTACAGCGTGGGACTCTTGGGGATGGTGCTGTGCAGGGCCAGGCGCTGGGCTCGGTGATCCTGGGGGTCCCTTCCAATCATGCTCTGTGGTTCTGTGATGGAAACCATGGCCCTTATCTGAGAGAATTTTCCTTCCCAGTGAAACAAGAGGGAGCAAAACCTTCTTTGCCCCCAGAGATCCTTACCAACATTCTGCTGAGTGACTGAATGAGCCCAGCCATTGAAGCCAAACATTTCATTGGCCAGACTGATGACCTTGTGACCCTCGATGTAACAGACCTGAAAAGAAGAGCACATACACATAAATATCTATAAATAAATACATAGCCTTGTGCACACATCTCTGCACAATTTACTTTTAACAGAGATTACACATATCATCTTACACTGAGGAAACCCAGCTAAATTCAAGGTTCAGATAATGTGAATAAAAGGCTGATGGTGCAGCTTCAGGTGCACTCTCTTCCAGCAAATGTGATGGGGATTAATATAACAACAAATATGACTTAATCAACAGAAGGCAGAGTGAGCACTAAAGATGGCAAATGCAGCTTCTATTGTATAATGTTTCATATAGTCCAATTCTGGGAAAAAAATAGGGAAAACAGCTCAGTGTTGCACAAGTAGATAAATAATCATTTGTAAAGGATGAAGCACTGAAAAACTCTCTCTTTTTAAGTGTAAAAGGAAAATCTGTGGCTCAATAAAAGCCAGAACTTATGCCATGCTCACTTTCCATTCATATCTGCATAGTAAACTACTAGAGGGAAATAAACTTCAAAAAAATAAGGAGTATTGTACCAATTTAAACCCTAGTTTTCCTGGGAAAAATGGAGTTGAAACATGATGTTTGTTCCTACCTTTTGCGCTCCTCCTGCCTGCCGGCTGCTGATGTAGTCTGGGCCCAGCCTCTGCCGCAGGGCGTGCTGGATAGCTCGGTACTCGCCGGCTGTGTACTGATACTGGGCAAGAACAAGGCAACACATCTCACTCTCCCTCTTCCAGCTTCCCTCTTCTCCCAAAGCACTGCTCTAGCCCAGTCCTGCCAACCTGGGCATCATCCAGTTTTTGGAATTGGGATGTAACGAGGCAAGGAAAGGCAAGGATGTGGCAAGGAAACACCTACACACACGAGACTGTTCTTTTTTCCTCTTACTCTTGATGGATACAGGCATTAATTACTGTGCTGCAGCAATTATTTTTCATTAATAATCCTAGCCACACACACATGTAAGTTTCTGCTTTACTGCTCTAAACCAAAACGTGGTGTCTCTGTGTAACAAGAAAAGTGTATTTAAAGACTCCAACAAAACTGAAGATTAACTGTACTCCACTGGCACACTCCACTTCACCAGGGCAGGGAGGACAGCAGCTCAGGAAAGCAGTCAGAACAGAAGTATCTTGAGCTATCCAGTTTCTTTGAGTAACTCCAACATCACTGGCATCATTGAAGAACACCAGCATGATGGGAAGCCTAAAGTGTTGTAAGTTTAGGTTTGTCTTAGTAGAAATCCAATTTCCAAAATGTAGCGAAACCTAAATGTACATTTAAAGATTTGAGAACTAAAAAGCTCGTGTTTTTACAGCCTGAAGTGAGACAGAACAGAGGTTTCACCACTTAAATCATAAATATTGTGTATGCATGTACTGGCTTGCCCTAACAATTCAGCAGAACACAGAAATTTCTAGCGTGTGTGTGCCATATAAATTCCAACTCCTGCCAAACCACTCTAATTTGTATTTAGTTCTATTTAAACTTAAGAGTGAAAGCTTTATCTTTTGCTGACTCTAGAATACAAGCCTGTAACCAAAAAGCATAAGGAGAAAGAGAGAATGCAGAAGCTTGTGCCACATTCAGGAACTGTGTAGAAATGCCTATCATGGAGAGGAGAATTCTGTTCAATCCAGACACAGTTTTCTTTTTTTCAAATTGTTTTACAACTTTTCAAGATTATTTTTTGATAGCTGAAAGTAGTTGGCTTTTCCTGTGCTGAAAATATGTGTAAGCATGACTCAGGCCATCTGGGAATAAGACAGAATAAAATGAGACCCACTTTTAAGGTTTAAAAGATTTGAAAACCTTTTGGAGAAGAATCCAGAGCAATTTATTATAACTCAGGCCGTGCCAAGAGTATTGCAGAGAAAAAATGTGAAGTACAATAGGGTGTAGCACGATTCCAGCCTTCCTGGACCCAAGTTTAAAAGGAATAAACATGCAGAGCAGATTTCCAGTAGTGTGAGCATGCAGCTTGCATTTCCCTCTCAGGCAAAAGGAGCTGACCTGTCCAAAGGAAGCCACGGAGTCCCCAGTGTTGGAGATGCTGCTGCTGCTGCTGTAGCTCTCACCATCCTTCCCCTGGCTCTCAGGCATCCCTGGAGATGAGAGAAAATAGAATCACTAAATAGAACAGAACTGCCAGTCCATATGAAAACATGGCAAAAAGCTTATTCTAAATATCACACTGCTGAAAAATGATAAGTGTGTGTTTTTTCCTTTTAGGTAAATGTGAAGGCACTGTACCATGCCAGGGAAGGAAGAAGAAAATAAATCCTTCTTTTGGATTCTTCAGCACTGTCCTCCTGCGCCACTTTCAATATCCACTAATACTTTGATAAAAAGTAGGGACAACTTTGTAAAACTTTACTCAGCTATACCCTGAGTTGTCAGTTTTATTTTAGATTGCTGTTTAGTCTGTAATCACCCTGCCTGGTGCTATATGGTGCCACATAAACTGTGCAGAGCTGAGAACCACAGGAGCTGTCAGAACTGGGAGAAGTGGTACCAAGAGTTCAGTAGATGGCACCCTTTTCCAAGCCAGTAGCCAACACTTCCCAGCACTGCACGGCCACTCCCCCCTGCCCTGGGGAGATTGTGGATCCAGCTGTGCCAGGGGCTGCAGCAGCACTCCCAAATAACCCACAGAGAGAATCTTTCATTGTACTTGCACCGCTGCTGAGCACAACTGAAAGCCCAGCACTCAGACTTCTGTAGGCAATACAAATACAAGACAAAATCAGACATACAAGAGAGCTGGAGATAGCAAAACAGTTTGAGAAAGCCTAAAATCCTCAGCAGATAGCATGATTTGCCAGTCAGTCAGCACTTGGCTAGTACTCTCCTTTGCTAATGAATTCCAGGTGTGGCACTTTTCAAAATAAGTTGTTTTTCCAGTCTCTAAACAAGAAATCCAAAGTTTACTGAGGGCTTGGCAAACAATTTTCAGAAAAAGGATACCAGTTGTTTCCTTGGCAAGCGTGAGCACTGGCAATTATGCCAAGTGAAGCTAAAATTCTCCTTAATTTTGGTTGGCTAGAATTATTCCTCTTCAGTCCCAAACTTGTATAATTGTACAGTGTTCACACACTTGAATGCCTTTCAATGAGAAGTTAGCAGCAATTTGTAAATACGTTTGGCTTTGGAAAAAAGCAAATAGAAAGCAACATTACCAGGAGAAACACTTGTGATTTAAGCAGGCTATTTCCTCTGCTCAGCAAAGAGTTCATTGCATGGGGAGGGAGACAATCACAGAGACATAAATAGTGTGTGTGGCCAAGAGAATTGAAATTTGAACAATACTGTTGCCTCCACTCACACCCCCAAGCTGCCTCAATCAGATCTTAATCACTGTGAGCCCTTGGGAAGAAACAATGACTGAAATGTCACTTGCCTACAAACGCTATGACCAATTTATGCAATGTAGGTGGGTGCCACTTTGATGCAAAATTGCTTAATACTGGTCTTAGATAAAGTTCTTCAAGGTTTTTTATGGTGTGCAGCATTATCAGTCTAAATTTAGCTGTCAGTGCTTTGTATTCAAATGATGTGTGATTCCAGTTTGAGTGATGAAGACACAAGTTTCTTTCCGTTTCTTAGTTTCAGGCTTTACCTGCAAGAGCAGCTTCAGCTGAGAGCCTTGTTTAAACCAAACCCTCCATCAGAACAACGTTGGGGGTTTTGCAGCTGGGGAAGTGCAGCACAGCCAAGCCCTGTGTCTCAAAGCAATTGTCTGAGCATTTCAGAGTGACAGGACTTCGATATCAAAAATTATTAGAGTAGGAGCTGGGAAGAGAGAGAAGTTAATTCTGCAAATGGAGCTATAAATTCTTCTCAGTGCCAGAGCCAGGGAAAGCAAGGTGCTTCCACTCCTCACTGGAATATGATTTCCTCACTGCCCTGCCCTCTCCCCACAACGTTTTAACTCACATGAAACATTAATGCTGAAGTAGATAATGAACTGTTGACTGGAGTGCCCAAGAGCCCCAGACACCCTCTGTGGTAGGAGGCTGCCTGATTCATTAACCAGTGTTAAAAAATGCCCTATTTTTAAACCAGAAAGACTAAAAATTCAAGTTCAAGTATGCATTTGAATATGCAGGATGATGCAAGCAGTTATCAGTTTAAAGGCACCTAGGAATTATAATTTACTATCTCTGGGACAATTATTTATTATTTGCAAGGAATTCTTTGTAGTTTAGCTGTCATGTTCTAAGGAAGTTTTCTTGTCACTGGGAAAGAATCCACACAAGAGTAGAGGTGCTGCACTGTGCTCCAAAACATTGCCTTGACACACTAGAACAGGTAAAGAAACTTAACACCTTTTACTACTACCATATTTTGATCTTGCCATTCAAAATTTGAACAGATTATGTACATAATCAGAAAAAAACAATCTCTGTTTTGGAAAATTGGATATGCAATACTAATTTTCAACAGCACTCTACAAGTAGGTATTTATTTGCATGGTAGTGAAATTGAGCACTGTTGAGAAAAATGTGTGTGTACACAAATTCCCATGCAAGAAATAAACCAATCTTACTCCAGATTCAGAAAATCCTGAATTTAATCTGCTTTGGTCTGCTGAGTAAAAATCTTCAACATTCTTCCAATAAATGCAATTCCACTGAGCCCAGCAAGAGCAAAGATTTAAACAGACATCGACAAGTGATTCAGCAAGCACTAAAGATAATGCCACATGTTTAATCTAAGCTTTGTATTACTCTGATAAAACATCCAAAAAACTTTACAAGTTTTATACTTCTGTGGAGTTTTCTTTCCTCTGGGAAACCCAAACTATTTTGTAAGTTGATTTACCTGTTATGAAAAGGCTGTTTGAACACACAGCTGAGTGTGTTACACTCTTTCAAGTGTAATGGAGCAGATGTTCCTAATCAGGACAGGCCTGTGCTACTCCACAGTTCAAAAGAAGTGGAAAAGAGATGATGCAATCGCTTGTGGAAAAGCTGCACATAATAGAAGTCCCCAGTTTTGATTTCTGATATGGCTAGGTATACAGCCTTGATGACTTGAGAAAAGCGAGGTAATGTTCTGTTAACTTCAACAGAAGGAAAAGATACTCACTGGTGGGTTAAACATGGAAATGCAGGGGCAGCTCAGGAGACTGGGTGTCTGCTGCAGACTACAGCTGGCCTCTGGTGCTGCCAGTAGCTCTTTCATGCCCCTCACTCATTCAGGCCACATTCTGTAGCAGGAGAAAAAAAGGTATAACAGCATGTTTGAGCTCCCTGCAGTAGTTGAAACATACTTGCTTTCAAGGCATCCAAGCACCACTCTCACAATTGCTACTCAGTTACAGCAGGTGGACACCTCCACGCAGTCCCACTTGTTCCACTGCAATCTCTGTGGCTCCAAAAGCACAGCTGAACTCTGATTTATCAGGCACTGCTAGGTTTACTCTTGGCACATCTAGGATCACAGTCCTCCCTGCACTGAACAGAAAACACTAATTCTGGTTCCACTGTTCAAACATTTTAATGAGCACAGGGTAAAGCTCTCTCTTTATACAATTTTGGAAGAGTAAGAGTGCACTTGTGGGGGTGTGTTTCAAAAATTTAAGATTTTTTGGGTACACCTAACATCTGAAACAAAACCTACCTGGCCAATGCCTGTATTTTTGGAGCAAAGGATGAGAAACTCGCTGTTTCCTGTCATGGCAGCCTTTACACAGCTGCCACAAATTCACTGAACATCAGTGTAACTGCTGGAAGTTGTTCAGGGGCCTGCTCTCCCAATAATTACAAATCCAGCCCAGACTGCTTAGTTTTTCATGTTTTTAAAATTTTCCTGGTTATGCCTCCAAACACTTTCTGTAACAGCAGTGGTGTGTGTCAATTACTCCTTTGCTACGTAATTTTGTTTGCTGTTTTCAAGTCCACTGCCTGTTGCAATTTTTGCCTTACAAATGGTCCAAAAAAGTTTAATTGGTTAAAAATGCACCAACAGCATTCTAAGAAACAGGTCATTCCAAACAATTCTAAATTTGAAATACATTTGCTTTCCAAAAATATATATCCTGTTTCATTTCCCACATTACTCAATTCCTTTGCATTAACTCACAATGTGTATAAAAAAAATTTCATTAAAGGGATTGACTGGTACTCCTGCACAAATAACCTTTTTGATATTATATAAAAAAAATAAAAATCCTCATCACAATGAACAGTGACCAAGGGGCAGCACTGAAAGAAAACAACTCTGTCATGCTGCTAGGTTTTTTTCCAGGTATGAAACAGCGACATCTCAGAGTCACAAAACCAAAAATGAACAATCTGCTCTTCAAGGAGTTTTACATCCATGCAGGCAGAGTAAAAGAAAAGAGCCTGTTCTGGAGACCAGGCCAGGCAGGAATATTACTCAAATATCATCAATTATTTACGTGGGCACTTCTTTCTAAAAGCCTGTCAGATTGATTTATCACCACATCATTTATGTACGAGTCACTTCAGCCCTTGCAAGGCAGAGACAGCAGAGTTTTTAACCCAAGAGTAATGGTTAGGGACTTGCAGGGAAAAGCAACCTGGCCAGTTGTAAGCAGAAAGCCTGCAGATCTCCCAAATGCAATTACCAGGCAAGCAATTAATCCAGCCTGGAAACGAAACCATCTGAACCCTGCGAGCACCGTGGGAGATCTGTCAAACTGTGCAGCACAAACCCCCAAGAGATCACAGGCACAGATGACACTTCTGGCACCAAGACCCTATTAACATGGCACACTTATTAAGCTGGGATGAAAAACCTAAAGCTCTTAGGCTCTGTTTTGCTCCAGGTTGACACTTGCATATTGTTAAATGGAAAATCATTTACACTTGAAATTGGCAAGATACTTGAGGCGCCGGTCTATTTCCATCCTGTTGCCTCCTTAGCCAGCAATATAACTATAAATTATCTCTTTTTTTGAGGGGATTCCTTAGGCTTAGATAGTATAGAATGGCTTAGGTAGTATAGCATGCACATATATGCATTATATTATTCTACAGAAATTAATTTAAAACAGACTCTCTGCTTCAGCAGTTGAAAGGGAAGTTCAGGTTATCGAGACCTCGGTGGATATCAGCCTGCCAGAGGTCTGAATTATAATAGAAACGGTAATTATAATATAATATAAAAAATGCAATAATATAATTATATATAAAATATACAATGCAGGTAATATGTAACATGATGAAACAATATAACATAATCACAATATAAGCCGTATTCATTGCAAGGAGGTGCTAATTTAAACAGTGATAATTCACATGACAGTAAGTACCACTCCTTGTGCAGTCTGGCAGACCTGACCCGTTTGCCACAATCTCTCACTTCAGTGTTCCCTGGGAGTAAGGGCTGAGGAAGCCAGTGCTGCTGTTGGCTCCTTACACCCTGAGATCATAGCAAATCCAGCTTGGAAGGATTCTTGATGGGGTCAGGTGCTGTCTGCCCGAGGCTCCCTCAGGAAACACCGGCCCCGCGCGCGCCCCTGGCCCGCCGCCCGCAGGGGAGGCCCCGGTTCTGTGCCGGGTTTTGTGCCCGGTTCTGTGCCGGGTTCTGTGCCGGGTTCTGTGCCCGGTTCTGTGCCCGGTTCTCAGGCCCCACCGGGCCCTGCCCGCCGTACCTGAGCCTCAGCGCGGCCCGTTCGTAGTTCCCGCCCGGAGCAGCCGCTACGGCGCCGGAGAGCGGCCAAACTTCCCTGGGGGCGCTCGCGGGCGGTGACTTAACGCCGGGGGCGGGGCGGGGAGGGCCGAGGGGGAAGCCCAGCGCGGCGAGCGCGCGCGCCGGGGGCGGGGCGTGGCGGCGGCGGGGGCGGGGCCTGCGCGTGTCTCGCGCCGGGGGCGCGGGAGGGAGGGAGCGGCGGAGGAGAAGCGGCGGGAGCGGCTCCGAGCCGAACCGAACCGAACCGAGCTGAGCTGAGCCCAGCCCAGCGCAGCCCAGCGCAGCCCAGCGAGCCGGGCGCGGCCGGCGCCGCCCGTGCCCTCCCCGCGGGCTGACAGGCAGGTGAGGGGCCGCGCTCGGGCCGGGGGGAGGTCGGGTTAACGCGCCTTGCCGGCCGCTGGGGGGAGCCCGGGGCGGGGCGGGGCCTGCGGGCGCCGGTATCTGCGGGAGCAGCCGCCGCGCTGGCCAGGCTCCGGCTCCGGCTCCGGCGGGGCTGCGGCCGCGGAGCCGCCGCGCAGGTGGGTCCGGGCCCGCGGGCGGCTCGCCCCGGGGGGGCGCGGGC